CAGTGATCATTGATCCCAAGAAAGTAAAATCTGTCACTGCCTCCATATCTTCCTCTTCTATTTGCCATGAGGTGATGGGACCAGTGGCCATCATCTAAGTTTTTTTTTATTTAAATGAATTCAAATCCTCATGGCCAGATAAACTGCATCCAAAATATTGAAGGAAATGGCTGACGAGATCTCAGAAGCACTATTTATTCCTTGAAATCATGGAGAATGGGTGAAGTGCGAGATGATTGCAGGAGGGACAGATTCAAATGGGACATTTTTTTTTATTTAAATGAATTCAAATCCTCATGGCCAGATAAACTGCATCCAAAATATTGAAGGAAATGGCTGACGAGATCTCAGAAGCACTATTTATTTCTTGAAATCATGGAGAATGGGTGAAGTGCAAGATGATTGCAGGAGGGCTACCATTGTCCCTACATTCAAAAGGGACAAAAAAGATGGAACCTGAGAACTACAAACCTTATGGCTTGGGGACGATTTTACATGTACTGTAGAGAAAGTACTGTTTTTTCAATGTTTCTAATTTGCTATATTATGACACTGCTTTGAAATGTATAATTGCTTTGAATCTCTTTTGAAGTTGGCAATTGTGAGTCGGTTTGGAAAGCTGTTATGGGACAGCAGGACATCAGAAATAATTTAATAAAATAGATGTGATATTGAAAATATATTGCACATGGAATTTCTGTAATTTATATATCTGATCACATACACTATTTAGAATTCTTATATTTGAATCCAACCAAGACATATGTTTGCCATTCTGGTTTTGGTTTTTTCGGTACCTTAATGGGGTTTTAGGTAAAAACAAAATAGTAGTAGTAGTAGTAGTAGTAGTAGTAGTAGTAGTAGTAGTAGTAGTAGTAGTAGTAGTAGTAGTAGTAGTAGTAGTAGTAGTAGTAGTAGTAGTAGTAGTAGTAGTAGTAGTAGTAGTAGTAGTAGTAGTAGTAGTAGTAGTAGTAGTAGTAGTAGTAGTAGTAGTAGTAGTAGTAGTAGTAGTAGTAGTAGTAGTAGTAGTAGTAGTAGTAGTAGTAGTAGTAGTAGTAGTAGTAGTAGTAGTAGTAGTAGTAGTAGTAGTAGTAGTAGTAGTAGTAGTAGTAGTAGTAGTAGTAGTAGTAGTAGTAGTAGTAGTAGTAGTAGTAGTAGTAGTAGTAGTAGTAGTAGTAGTAGTAGTAGTAGTAGTAGTAGTAGTAGTAGTAGTAGTAGTAGTAGTAGTAGTAGTAGTAGTAGTAGTAGTAGTAGTAGTAGTAGTAGTAGTAGTAGTAGTAGTAGTAGTAGTAGTAGTAGTAGTAGTAGTAGTAGTAGTAGTAGTAGTAGTAGTAGTAGTAGTAGTAGTAGTA